ATTTGTTAGGTAAATTACTGCTTATATCTAAAGCAAACTCTTTGGAGGCGAGTCCTATGAATCCAGATGTCCCTGTGTCAATAAATTATATACCACCTCAATTAAATTCTCAACGTCTGATTACACTAGTGTTTGAGGGCCATTGCTGCGCATGGCAGGACGAGTCCTTTTTAATTTGTCCTTTATACCAGCCATCTGTCAGTACATGCTCAACGGCTTAGCGTCGGCCATCACCCTACGTTTTCGATTTCGCTGATCTGAGGTCCCTCCCATCCGGAATGTGTGCAGGAAATCAGGTCAGACACGGCCCACGGCAAGCCCACGAAATTTACTTGAAACAGAGTACTAAGGGTCACCTTGATTGTTATCCTGTGTCGTGTCGCTTTGTATACCAGAATTCAATAAATTGTCAAGTTCAACATACTTTAGGGGATAATTCTATTTGGCAGCCCCCCGAAAAGGTGGGGGCTGCCAAATAAGTTCTGGCAGCCCCGAATGTTATCTTTGATGGTGCTTGATGGCGGCGAGGGCAAGATTCAGCGGGAAGTGTCTATTAGCTCCATAGCGGTGTGAAAGGGCGACTGAAAGTCTGGGAAAGAACTGTTGGGGCGAGGACTATATCTGAAATAACCCTGCAATTTTCTCTGAAAGGCAATTCATGTGCACCATCCAATACTTCAAGTTGTGAGTCAATCAAATAGCTGTAGCTGTCCGAGAAACTCACCAGGAAATGCGGGGAAAAAATCGGTGAAGGTGTCTAATGCCTATCCTAGCAATATATACCTCTCACAGATCACTTCAAGCATTTTTTTGACCGTCCATTGACCCTTAGAACGCCTCAGGCGGGTGCTTATCTCGGTTAGATTAGCCCACGTGGGGGCTGCTAAATAGAATTATCCTACTTTAGGGCAGGTCACTTGTTGTTCGATTATTTATTCATTTATTTTGTGGGACGTTAAATTGAGAAAGTAAGAAGCTCTCATACGAGCCTTCCTCACTGGGCTGCCTCTAACTTCCCCAGAAATCCGCCACCCAAATCCTTGGACCGCCAAGGATGGCCCTCCTCCCGCCATAAAATAAGCCAGGACTAGGAACCCAGCCGACAGTATCCACCCGAGGAAATGTGCAGCCGCAACACACACTCAATTTCTCGCAGGCGCCGTGTGGGGTTTGAGTTACGCGCCAACTCCGATCCATTTCTGGGTCATCATTATCAATGCCTAACCCACATCCACTAAAACCCTGGTCTCCTTGGTCCAATCTTCAACGAGTCTGTTTTCGTTAAGCAGTGTCTTTTGCCATGTCTTAAGCACCAAACCTTTTTTAGCCATCTGTTCTTGATTTCCTGGTTAGATGCTCCACCTTTCTCCCGAATCACTCTCTCGTTATGAAGACACCATATCAGGCATGCTGATTCGGACACCAGGATCCGGAACAGGCGAGTCGTTGTCTGATCACCTCGGGCAATGGCTCCACACACCATTATCTCTTGTTCGAATTCAATAGTTCAATTGCTGCAAGATCTATCGGCGCCGGGAATAACCCGCGGAAATCTTGTACAATGTAAGTCTTTTGTATTTAGCAAATGCTTCTATCCTCCCTGAAGCCGGGGGGTTCGATCGTTCCACAACCGCCGGTAAACACAGACTGATAGGCACATCGGCATTGCGCGGAACACGGTTGCTAGGGCCAGCCGAGGGAATCCGCATCAACCGAAATCCGACTCGGCTTATCGGCACATCAGTATGTTATTCTTCGGAACGACAACGCAACGGACTCGAGAAAGAAGATAATTCAACAAGAAGGCCGACACGGATGCCATTGAAGGGAGGGTCGCATCATGCAACGCGTACGGCTGCTAAAACCAGAATACAAGCCTGCCCTCAAGCCTAGTGTACGTCCGCCAGGAGAAGTCCCTCAACGCCTGAATACAATGTCAAGCCCAATGCACGTCCGCAGGGCTCAAATCCTTCTGTGTTACCCGAAACCCTGCAAACCTCCCCCTAGCGCATGCATCCCGGATCTTCTCGAATACCAACCCCTCGAGTCGGGCCTCGACGTGTCCGACGTTCCATAGGTAGATTCAGGTAGATTCACGCCAGTAAGTAGAGGTTTTTTAGAATTTATTCATGTTCCCTAATTCACGCGCACCGAACCCCGAAAAATTGCATAATATATTGATTGGGAGAAACGGCCGTACATATGAGTGCCAGGCGGCTCTACAGCTGACTAGAAGTGGCGGCACGATGTCGCTATTGGCGACTGAACGTAGCGGCCAGTTCACCGCCACCTGGCCGCCAGCCACGGGCGACATGTGCTGCACATGTTGGCTGCACCTGGCGGCTACGTGTCTCCCAAATGGCGGTGTAATCGATGTCCTTTTGTCTGAGTTCGGTCTTGATTTTCCTTCACTTGAAGCACTGCGGAAAAAATGCGCCGAGTTGAGCTATGGAGAAGGTTCAGAAGCCCCGTTCCACGGTAAAATATGTGTGGAGTCACACAGTATAGATCTGTGTCTTGTCGGTGTAGGCATCGAAGAACACTGTGCACCGAACCCTTATGCCTCTTTTCGAATAACGCTCAATATTCAACTGTGGGAAGCATTGCCTCTGTAATGATTGCGGGGTCTGCTTCAAGTTGCAGTGGTTACAGCTGACAATAATTAATAGCTACACAGATAAAGTAAGGAAATATAGCTCCGCAGTTCACCGACATGGGAAAGTCTCTTGAGAAAAAATGAGAATCAAAGTGAATCGTCTTACGCCGTTCGCTTTCCGGGCCCTCACCGATGTTTCTGCTCATTTCAACGAACATAATTTTGGTCACATTAACCTATATGTGTGTAGTGATGGTCATTTCCGGTTTCATAGTCACATAAATGCGTGATGAGAATACATGTTTCTCTTCGAAAAAGCGGACAACACTTTGGCATACCTGAGATGCATGGAGGGGTATCCTGGGGCCTCAGATGGGCGGCGTTCACAAAAACGGTTGGGAACCGAAAAACGGGGATAAATCTCAATGGGGTACTATTAGTGACTGGGAACCTGGCCACACTAGGAAGCTGGCCATAGGCCAAATATAGGACTCTAGAGTGTGTAATATCTTCCTTTCGTATTTCCACAATGGAATATGAACCAGTGCGCCCCTTAAGACCAAATTTCAACCCAAAGTGATAAGTTGATCCAAAGCTGTGCCCGGACTGATTGCGGTCCGGAGGGTGAGAACACCATTTTGATAACCCCGAGCCACCGTTTCGCTTGTTTCTCAACCAATACGCAGTAGATCCGAGACTTTGGGGGCTTATTATATTGGTCTGATGTGGGACTCTCTTGTGAGCATACAGGACCTGGCAGATACTTTGCTCTGCATCCCCAAATTCACCAACACACCGGGAACAGGAATTCAACATTTGCAAACTGAAATTCGAGATAGCAATGCACTCTTGCAAAGTACGATTCCGAGGCCTTGTAGTATCCATACTAATGTCTCAACCTTTCATATCCTGAATAGTGCGACACCTGAATGCTTCCTCATCCCTCCTGATACGCACTTCAATAGAAAATCACCTGTTCGGCCCCCAAAAAAAGATTAAACGTCGGGTTCTCGGCAGAATACCTCCAAGCTAAAGGTATGTGTCCAGGTTCGTCCATTAGGTTCCAATGAACCTGCTTGTGAATTACTTTGGCTTCAAGTCTGTTATCACTCGCGTACCAACCCAATTTAGGATGGAAGTGCAGATCCCGCCACCAAGGCCTGTATAAAATGTCGCCGCTACGCCACTTCTGCATGGTCGAATGTATGACAGAAGGACCCAAAATGCGTTATATGGATCCCATATACACTGCGCACAATGGTCTGGCCCCTCATTCTTCATGACCAATGAGCTTTCAAGGGTGGCCAGGTTCCACGTCAATTGCCTGTTCGGGAAATCCTTGAAAACTAAATTCGCTGAGCACGCAAATCGGCACCGAAATTATTGCAAATATGCTCAGTCTCTTCGCAGGATCCGCGCCTATTGCGTAGGGTCCACAAACCTGACAGAAGCCCCCGTGGTACATCGGTATTGGGCCCAAATGCCTTAGGTGGCCAGGTTCCCGGCGGGATATAGTAAGATTCGTGATGAGAGATCTACCACTCCACTCAACACTGATGACTCTGAGCACCAGACTTTTGATCGCCGTCGCGACTCGTGGAACAAGTGAATACGCCAGCGCCTTTACGCCACCAAATTGAATATGATCCAAATATGGCTCGAGCTAATCGGATAGCCCACAATCCACGTTTGCTGGCCAGGGTCATGGTGCCAGCATATGTAGTGCAGGTGTCGAATACGCCAGCGGGTCCTCTACACCACAATTGAATATGATCCAAATATGGTTCGAGCTAATAGGATAGCCATAAATCCACGTTTGCTGGCCAGGGTCATGGTGCCAGCATAGCAGATGTAGTGTCAGGTGTCCGGAGGCGTCGGTTGGAAGAAACTGAGGAGACCAGCAGCAGGTACATCAGGAAAACCCTCCCTGAGTAATTTATCCAAATTACCCCCGAATTCGACCATGTTATCGACCATTACCCCGGTCTCCCATTTGATTCCCAGAAATTCAAGGGAAATTACCTTGCATTACCAATGCATTACCGTCCATTTCTAGGCCATTACCGATCCTTTACTATCACGGGCATTCATTGACGTAACCCACCGGGCGATATACAGGCACACCCCACCCACCATAGGCCTCACCCACCCCACCTGCTGCTTTCAAATACGGAGAATGGAACTGGAGACAGAACAAGTAATAAAAAATCGATGTGATGGTGGAATAGGGCCCGACCCCGAATTGAATGAGGAGCTCACAACAAAGACTTGGAGCAGTTCTAATTCAATTGCCTGTGTTACCGTTACACCACCTGGCCATGATTCTGGAAGCAAGCCAACAATCAGTACATATTCAGAATGGAAACGCGGAGGCGGAATAAAAATCACAGACACATTGTGGGAAGGGCCGAGCCTTGAATCGAACAAGGGCCATGCAGAGACACCAATTATATTTATGAAATTCAACTGTAAGTGCTACCAGCTACACCACTCGACCATGATTGCCTGGCATATCCGGAATAAGGACTATGCGGAGAAGGTGTTTGCTATGAAAGAAGTCAAACTATAGGTGCTACCAGTTACACCACTCAGCCATGATTCTGATAGGCAAAAGGGGAACTTAATCGGCAAAAATACTCTCTGCACCAATTAGGACCTGACCCTGATTTGGACAGGGGTCTCCCCACAAACGTTGGGATGCAAGTACATGGGATGTTACCACTTACACCACCAGGCCATATGTGGGAAACGGAACAGTCAGGAGAAGACAGAGTGAGCCCGATGAGGAATCGGAATCGATGAGGAGCCGGGATGTGGCCGGGCAGCTATGCGGAAGACATAGGAGGTGGAATGGTGGAAAAGCTTGCGGAAGGCATATGAGAAAATTAGTGAAGGCTGTCCAGCCCCTTCAAACACAGGGAGGTGTGGAGATCGACCGCAACGAGGCTGATCGAAATTGAGAATGGACTCCACATGCCAAACAGGAAGTTGGTATGTGTGCAGTCATCAGGCAGAGTACAGTATAAAAGCCAGCTGTTTTGTACTAGTTAGACATCTTACCACCTCTCACTGCAGCTACTCCTCCCCAAGTACCCCGGGGCAGGGACTTGAATTAAATATATTCCGCTGTCGGTTATGCTGCTCAGTAGTGGGAATAGACCAAGGTCAAATAGGACCTGGGTCCACCAAGGGGACCCGTCCGTGGTACATCTGATTCAAATAACGAAGTGGAGGGAATTATTGTCAATCCGGAGTTGAAAGTGTGCGGCAGCAGGGTAGCAGATTATGTGGTACCACACCAAACGGCCAGCAGCCTAATTTAGCTGCATGCAGCTGTTCTCATTCGGAATTCGAGCACATATCCTTGCAAGGAATACCACCCCATCATAATAGAAGGCTTATCCCGCACAACCATACCACTTCCCCCATTTATTTGTGTCACTTCACCCCCAAGTCTACAAATTGGAAGGGATTCTGTATCGAGGTGTTCACAAGCGGAGAAAGAAACCAGGTTACGAAGGGCATTGCTACAAATAGTTTATTAACTTTTCTTAAGTTCCCGCCATTGTAGACCGTGTGAGGACTCAAGTTTGCAAGCACTTGAGTTCTCAAGTTCTCAAGTTCTCATTCCAAGTAGCTAACATCCATAATCAAAATCAAAGTACTACTTGAGCACTTGTGTCCAAACACGAGAACTCAAGTTGCCATTGAGACTTGAGTGGGGATTGAAACTGAAGATTTGATAAAGACTTGAGTCCCGAGAACTCAAGTTGCCGTCGAAACTTGAGTGGAGATTGAAACAAAGACTTGGGTCTCATCTATGCATTTAAGTTCCTGAACAACACAGGTCCTACTGGCATGTTCATTTCAGGTGCACACGACAGAATAAATACAATTGTACCTTTATTCTCTGGCCCCCGGAGATGAGTCGCAACTAGTAAATCGGAATTGGCTAGGTAAGTGAACGAACCGAAGGGAAGATTATTTATTATGAATTAGATGGAACGGAATACAAACTCAACTCAGTGGGGATGAGTTCGACTAGGAGCTCAACGTCGCCGCCCGGCAAGGAAAGCAAGACTGAACATTTGTGAGTATAGAGGGCGGAGAAATTGATTAAATAACTGAGAGGAGTTACAAACACAGCATTGAAAATGTTGGACCCCAGCCAGCTTGAAGTTGAACCTGCGTTGAGGGGACTTGAATGTGAAATCCCAAGTTTGAATGCAGATAGAACCTACCACAATAATTGAACCGATACTTGAGTCTCGCTGAAGACCATGGAGGCAGGAGCATGAATTAAATGCCTGTGAAATTCCCGGTGAGTCCAAGGGGAAAGAAGAAATCAGCCTGTCAAAAACTTTTCATATCAGGTCCAGTATCGACACTACTTATTCTGCTACTGATACATCTGGTTTCAGAACCGTAATCAGGAGCCCAGAAACCACACTTTTTTGGAGTGGGTACTAGCCTCGTTGCCGCAAAGACCAGTGTTTTTCACCTTGCCGTGGGATTCAGCGGCGCGGCTTTTAATTTGACAAGTCGGTATTCAATGTATGTATGTGTTCCACTTCCTTCTGACCTTTCTTCCTTTCTTTGCAGACGGACTTTCATTCGGGAGTGGTGGAAGCCCATTTTCTCTGCATTCAATTTAATTACTGGAGGCTTGTAATAGCATAGGATGTTGTTGTCGGTCTCCGCATTTTTGCCTGGCCAGCCTCACAACGCACCGTTGTCGAGGTGGTGTTCAAAAATGAGCCAATCGGGGGATCGGACCGGCGGTCAATCATCGAACTTCCCCAAGCCCGAGATGACTGTAGCATTGATACATTAGGTTGACCTTTGTGGCGGTACCTCACGTGTGTTTGATAGTAATCAGATCTTAGAAAGCGAACAACCCAAACAAAGAAAATGAACCAGCAGAGAGGAGAACAATTCCAATAAATAATTGTTCACACTACGCCAAACTGATACATTTCTCCTCCAACTCGTCTTCTGATAAATCCTCCTCCACATCTTCTGCTTTCCATGCAGGAGCATTGAGCTCTGCAAGTCGAGCTACATTGAGCATGTGCTGTTCCTTCACCTCCTCGCTGATCCTAGACAGTCTTTCATCAATATCCTGAATTTGCTTGGTTTGTGATGACCGTTTGAAGAGTGGCCTGGCTGCTTCCCAGAGTTCCAGTGCCCTCAGTGAATCACCATGCTGCTTGGCTATGTCTCCAAGTCGGATCATGCATTCTGCTCTGCTTCTGTGAACATCCATGTCCGTGAATGCTTCCAAAGCAGCAGCAAACAGAGAGACAGCTGTAGCTTCGTCATTCTCTTTGAGAAAAACACCCAGGAATCCCAGGGCCTGGTGAATCTGAATCCTGTGTTTTCCCTTGCTGGAATGTGCAAGGAAAACTGTTGTCCATGAGGAAGGATGCTGTGATGCCTCCCAGCAGCTGATATCACCAAGTCTCTCAAGGCAGAAGCTCACTATATCCGAGAAATTCCCCCACCCAGCCCTGAGACATTGACGGAATGATAAACTTGACATATCCCCTTCTCTGAGATTGAGAGCTGCTTGATAGCATTCAACAAACATCATTTCTCTATTCAGACTATGCCTCTCAAAGATTTCCTTTGATGAGCTGAGCTTCTTCTGTATCTCATCAACAGGACTTCCCATGAACACTTCATCCTCTGCAATGTTGGCCAGGAGTACCCCATAAATGGAGAGGTTTTGATCATCCAATGCCTCTTGCAAAATCTGATTGAGGATAAGATGTCCATCAGCATATTCCGATTTGAGCAGGTGAACTTCTGCCTGAGAGTCCACAACAGCATAATTGAGCTCCCCATGAGGCATACCACACAGACCAAGAAGTGTTCTGGCCCTTGTGCCCAGGAGGATGCAACTTTCGTAATCCCCCAAGATCTGCTGACAATTCTGCTCATAATATAATCCAATTGCCTCCTGAAACAATTCTCCAGACAGGATGGCCAGCCTCTGCGCTTCCTGTGCATATGCCTGGGCAGCAGCGTAATTACCACCAAGACATTCAATGTGTGAAAGGACACCAAGTGTGCTACATTGGCCCCTGAAGTCATCATTTGCCCTTGCCAACCGGAGAGAAACCTGGCAATGCTCAACAGCTTTGTGCATGCCATGGGTCCGTTGAGAGTAGTACTATGCTAGAGTGCTATGAAACTTGGCTAGAAGATTGTCAGTGTCTAGTGCATGAAGAGTAATGGTAAACATACTTTCAAGTGCAGGGTCTGCAAAATGTTTAAGGTGGTTCAACACCTCAGTGATCAACATCTCTGGATGAGATATTGGATGAAATGCAAATGAATTGAACAGTTCCACAACGAAATAGGTTTTCAACCGGTGGCCGTGTAACGATGGAAGGAGGTAGTTGATGTCTTTCATAAGTAGAGTTGCATGCCCAAGACGCCGAGCGAATGAATTGAAATCACAAGTGCAGTAGATGCTCTTCACCATGTCAGGATGCTCTAGCTGCAGACAACACCGAAGAACATTCTGGATGTTTGTATAATTGGATGTTATCCTAGCAATAGGAAAAGCACCAGATTCCTTCCCCCAGGCTGTTACATATAACTCCAGGAGCTCATGAAAGTGTGCAAGGAGTGGCCTTATCATCTTATCTGTTGGAGGAAAACACCTTCCCATGTATTCTCTGATGGGCACCAAGACTTTGAGGTGTTTATGGTCATCTATGTATGCCAAAGCAGTACGAAGTAATGCAGTCTTGCAACCAAGGATATCCTTGATGGGAAATTTGCTTTGCTTAAGTTCTACATCTGACAGGCCATCTGGCAATATGGAAAGCAGGGCCAACAGATCCTGAGAGTGTGGTATGGAGGTAATTTGAGGGCTTGAGAGGGAAAGTGAAATGGATAGCTCCAGATTGGACCTCCTATCAGAGCCCTCTGAGATGAGAGAGGTCTTCTCTGTCTCCCAGCGGGATAATATTATGCTGCAGTCTTCCATGTCCACCAGATGGGCCAAAAGGCTGATTGAAAGTGGCATATTGTCTGTGAGATGAAGGACCTGGTCTACTTCCTCCATTGAATGTCTGTCATCTGTAATTTCAATAAACATATTTCTAGCAGCCTCCTGTGACAAGGGCCCCAGGGGCAATAAGAATGGTCGTGTCCACTGAACTTTTGCCGGCCGCTCTGCTCCTCGCATGGTAACCTGTTCTCTGATAACACACCCAGAATGGAATTCTTTTAGGCTTGATTGAAACCCTAGTGAAAGTAACTTCTATTGATAGGAAAATACATCGTAGTCAAAATAATGTGAATCAAGGACGTAAAATAGACTTCCTAAAGCAAGAGGATTTGACTGCAATTTTCTGCAACGAGAAGTCAGCTTGAATAAAACATGGAAGAAAGAACTCCCCAACCTTGACAAGTTTATTGCCGAATTCAACAGAATTGATTTGTCTTGAAATGATTCTGTGTGAAAGGGATCATGAAAGGTGA